TGTCTTGGGCTTACGACGCGCGAACGGGCTGCCCGGTTTACTTTGGTCTTCATATTCAGGATCTGTGAGAAACTCGACGCTGTCGGTGCGCATTGTGGCGCGCTTGAATGGCGGTATATCAGCCACTTTGGGACGCCGCTTTGTGTAGGGACTATGCTCATAGCCCTGGAAGTTTGCTATCTTTTCGGCGCTTTGCAAATTCTGTGACTTCAGATGCGCAGCTGGGAAGCGCGTGTCTTCAATGCTTAGCCGGCGGCTGCGCGAATTGCTGTAGGCAATGTAGCCAGTGCGCGCGAAAGGAATTATGGGCGCTGTGCGTTCTTTTGCACGATTCGATAACATTTCTTCGCTGCGAAAGCGCTGACGGTCGTCTAACAGTAAATCGGCGTCCTCAATATCACCCTCGGGATTAGTCTGCGAGCGGCGTAATTTGGCGCGACGTGCATGACCCGATTCGGTTAGATCTACCATTGACTTGACGGGTCGTTCCAGTTTTGGCATTCTTATGGCATCTTCGTAAGAAGGCAAATTATTCTCGTACGGACTTGGAGCATTAGGCGTGCCGGCCTCTTCCAGCAAGCGTTGATTATGTGCGCGACTGCAAGTATAATAGGTTATTAAAAAAAATTGCTTATATACTTTAAAAGCTATTTCTCATTCCAGCACTCGATCTTACATTTCCATCATTTCATCGCGATTCTCTCGATATTCATTTCGATTTCGTCTTTTCGTGCGGCTTCTGATATACTTTTTCATACATGCGTAGAAAAGGAACCCCACAGCGATGATCAAAAAGCACCACATGATCGCAGTCCATGCTCTCGCTGCTCTCGAATTGCGTTCGCTAGGCGCCCATACACTAGCGCAGGCGCTTTCCCATGTTTTGCCATAGAAGTTCGAGGGCGATGCACAGCGTACATTTTTGTGGTCCTTTAACTGGAAATATGCAGAAAAAAATTGAAAATTTGTAAAAAATGGAGCTTACATTAATTGGTCAATCTTCTCTAATTAATGTTTGAATCGGAGTGCATGAGGAAATTTTTAATCACGTCACGCTTAATCGTGCAAACCAACAAATTTTGTCACACCAACGCATTTACTAAAAATATTCGCTTATGACGCCATAATATTTTCTACATATACTATATCTCTGCAATTATACGAACACAGGGTGTCCAAGAAGTACCACGACAAACCTTAGGACACCGTAAGTATCACCGTTTTCGAAATATTGATATTTTTTAACCAACCAAATACACGTTTATATAGCGAACCGCTTGCTCCATGACAGACACCCGCTTGCAGTCGCACCTACTGGTGAACAGAAGCTGCAGACTTCAGTGAGCCCTTAAACCGAATAAGTCGGAGTGGCCCCACCGAAGCTCCCTCTCTTTCTGCCGTGACCCAAGGCTCCACTCGGATTGGTTACCATATATTTATTTTGTACTGCTATTGCGACCGATCTTCTCTCATTTCGTAAGCATGTTTTATCGGCCAACTGTGAAGCTTAAGTAAATTAAAATAACCATCATCAGGTTGCATGAGGATACCACTGGATCACAAACTTTAGTTTGATTTTGTACTCCAGACTAGGGATGGGTAGTGGGGGTTGAAATTAGATTTTTTCCCAAATTCGAACATTGCCCAACCATTCGATTATTCGATTCGAAATTGGTGGTGCAAATTCGATTTAATTCCAATTTTCCGAATTTTCCAAAATTTTTGTGAAATGAAACTTCTTAATCGATTTCGGAGATGTTTGCGTTAAATACTTAACACCAAGTCATAAAACCTGTATCGTTCGTTCGATTTTCAAAAAGGAGGTAGGTGTCAAATGAAAGGGCTTGCCCTGTAGTGCGTAATATGGTTTTAGTTTTGTGCCATATGTAAGAAAATCAAGATCAAATTATTTAATAAGTGCTTGAAGGGAGTGGCCACCTGTTTAAAAAGTTAAACTGAAATTACACTATGCGACAGCCGAAACCAGCTTGGACTTTGTTAAGATTTTAAAATTAATTTTTTAAGCAATGGGAGGATAAATAAAAAATGTGTAGCATTGAAAAATGGTTAAATAAACTATTAGATATTGTTATTGGAAGTATTCTGAAGAGAACCATAGTTTTGCGATCGGAAAATAATGATTTTCAAGAATTCCATACCATTTTCCAAAAAGTTGGTTTTTCCCCATATAAAATACATGGAAAACTTTGAGCGCTTTGAGCGACCTCTAAATGTTTTTTAATTTCAAAATAAAAAATAGGGGTATACTTTTTTCGATATAGAACAATTCTAGGGGATGAGAGCATACAAATTCCGGCTTTACTTATTTTGGACCACTCTAGTGTTTCACACGTACATACCTTTTGTGGTGGTGCAGTTAAATAATCATAGAAATCCATAAATGTTGTGTCGTGACAATTACAAATCCATGGATTATCACTTATCCATATGGCATCCAAGTATTGGTTGGAGCGAAAATATTCAGCTGGTATTGGATTCGTAAAACGATTGCCATTTAAATGCAGCCATGCCAATTCTGGAAATTCCGAAAATGTCGTGTTGCGTATCGCCGTTAGTCTGGGAAAACAAGCAATGTAAGAAACAAGTTTCTTAAACTTTTCACACATAAGCATTTATTACTCACTTGCAATTACTCAGATCCAATCTCTGTAGTGTTTCCGAACGCATATTTGCTGGAAACTCTTTGATGAGATTTTTCGAAAAATCAAGCCGTTGGATTGTCGATAGACCCGTTAACGCATTCCCATCGATCATTATTATTTCACAGCCGCTTAAGTTTACTTCGCGCAACGAATTCGATACAAGTTTCGTGAATTTTTCAATGACATTGCGGCTCAAGTTAATCGAAACGAGCACATCGTTGGAGCGGAACAAATTCGTATCGAGGCGAGCGATTTCATTGAGCGACAAGTCGATTGTTGCTAAATGTTTTAATTTAACGAATGCACTAGGTTGGATATTACGCAACGAATTGCGCGCCAAATCCACTGTCTCCAAGAGAGTATTATTGGCGAAGGTATATTGATCCAAGGTACGTAACATATTGCCCCGCAAACGGGCGCGCGTTAAGCTTGGGAAGCCGCTCAAGTTTATCGTGTCCAAATTGCAAAAGGAAGCGTCCAACTGCAAAAGCGATACCGATAATATGGCATCCTTAAATTCCAATGCAAAGTTCCAAGAAACATTTAAGACCTCTAAATTTGGCAAACTTTCGATGAAAGTTTGTGGTATATGTAGCAAACTGCAATTGCTCAGTTCCAGTGTACGCAATGTATTCGATGGTATGTTGTTCAGCGTAGCAAGCGCATTTCCCGAAAGCGAAAGCCGATCAAGTGCTGGTAGGCCGTTTATGAGATGATCACCGCCANTCTAGGGGATGAGAGCATACAAATTCCGGCTTTACTTATTTTGGACCACTCTAGTGTTTTACACGTACATACCTTTTGTGGTGGTGCAGTTAAATAATCATAGAAATCCATAAATGTTGTGTCGTGACAATTACAAATCCATGGATTATCACTTATCCATATGGCATCCAAGTATTGGTTGGAGCGAAAATATTCAGCTGGTATTGGATTCGTAAAACGATTGCCATTTAAATGCAGCCATGCCAATTCTGGAAATTCCGAAAATGTCGTGTTGCGTATCGCCGTTAGTCTGGGAAAACAAGCAATGTAAGAAACAAGTTTCTTAAACTTTTCACACATAAGCATTTATTACTCACTTGCAATTACTCAGATCCAATCTCTGTAGTGTTTCCGAACGCATATTTGCTGGAAACTCTTTGATGAGATTTTTCGAAAAATCAAGCCGTTGGATTGTCGATAGACCCGTTAACGCATTCCCATCGATCATTATTATTTCACAGCCGCTTAAGTTTACTTCGCGCAACGAATTCGATACAAGTTTCGTGAATTTTTCAATGACATTGCGGCTCAAGTTAATCGAAACGAGCACATCGTTGGAGCGGAACAAATTCGTATCGAGGCGAGCGATTTCATTGAGCGACAAGTCGATTGTTGCTAAATGTTTTAATTTAACGAATGCACTAGGTTGGATATTACGCAACGAATTGCGCGCCAAATCCACTGTCTCCAAGAGAGTATTATTGGCGAAGGTATATTGATCCAAGGTACGTAACATATTGCCCCGCAAACGGGCGCGCGTTAAGCTTGGGAAGCCGCTCAAGTTTATCGTGTCCAAATTGCAAAAGGAAGCGTCCAACTGCAAAAGCGATACCGATAATATGGCATCCTTAAATTCCAATGCAAAGTTCCAAGAAACATTTAAGACCTCTAAATTTGGCAAACTTTCGATGAAAGTTTGTGGTATATGTAGCAAACTGCAATTGCTCATTTCCAGTGTACGCAATGTATTCGATGGTATGTTGTTCAGCGTAGCAAGCGCATTTCCCGAAAGCGAAAGCCGATCAAGTGCTGGTAGGCCGTTTATGAGATGATCACCGCCAACGGTTGTAATGCCGCAATTTTCGAGTTCAAGCTCTACCAGCGATTCACTGATGAGCACAAGTTCAGATTTGAAACCCGTAAAAGTTTCCAAATTATTGCCACTTAAGCTCAAATGCTTCAGACTAATAGCATTCCGAAACGCCTCACTCGGATTCAGATTCAACCAGCTGTTGAAGCTATTGTTGGCGAGCAGTAGGACACGTAGTGCTGTAAATCCTACTAAAGCTTCAGCATTTAACTGCGCTATCTTATTATTAGAGAGATCTAAGTAGACGAGTGACTCCACTGTGGCCAAATGCGTGGGAAAGTCAACGAAATTATTGCCTGACAAATCCAGATGATCGATGGGCAGATCACCAAAATCGGGATACTCCGTAAGTCCTTTGCGCGAACAGTCGACGCCAAGGCTGTCAAGTACCCAAGAACATTTGCAACTGTGCGGACAATTCACAGCTGTGGTTAGGGATGTGAAATAAAATAGCAGAGAGATCGTGGCAAAGTGGTGGAGCTTTGGCATTTTTAGACGATGCAGCGCAGGTATTTGATGTGGAATATGACATATGGATGAGCTGTAAAAGATATAAATACTGCTTTAAATATCGTTTAATAATGGTAAAGCGAGTAATATAGGTCCTATATATTTATATATACATAAATACATCTGCGCAACAATAGATTCAAAATGTCGCAATTCCAGAAGGCATTTATTTTAAGTTTTTGTTTACACTGTTATCAGCCATAAAATGGATTATTTTCAAGTATTTGCACACATACATTCATATGTATGTATATACTTACATAAATTTACATACATACATAAATATACACCCTGCTGGGAAACTCAACTAATGAAATTATAATCGCCCTTCTCCTAAATTGCGGCTCAAATGGCGTGGCGCAATGTTCGGAAATCCAAAAAGTCCGGCCAAATATCTAAAAAAAGTTTAGATTTTTAAATTTTAAATTTAAATTTTAGATATTCATAACAGAGGTCATCAATTTGTAAAAAACTGGTTGGCGCCGAGATATCCGTTGGTTGTTTGTTATTAGATGTGCACTGCAAATACTAAAAATATTTTTTATTCTTTTTCCTACATATAATTTGAATTCAACGTCAGTTTTGTATATTGACTGTAATCGAAATTTTTGCACTTGCTTATGGAGTTCTGCCTGCGCTGCCCATCAATGACTATATACAAACATATGTATAAAATGCTTATAATATCATGTCTTCACCGCGTAGAAGTTGTCTCAATGAGCCAAACGTATTTTGCTTCATTCGCTTCGAACTGCTCGGAGAAGTCCTTCCTGATTTGAAGCAGACGCCCCAACGCCACTTTACACAGCCGTAGTAGTTTCGCAAGGGTCCTTAATTATGAAGGGCTTCATTAATTAACACAATTACGTGAATATGACTTTTTATGAAATGTTAAAATTGAATTTGGCACCGTTCGCTTACAATCTTCGGGTAAGTATTCCATAGACAGAAATGCCTTTTAAGCCTTACGCACCAAAAAATGTATTCTGTTATAATTCTACAGAATTTTTTCTTTTATATGATACCCATATGGTACGACAACGTCTCTGATTGCGATTTTATTACTCTATCGGTCGTTTTCGTCTAAGTTTTCATCAACTAGATTGCAATCGTCTCGGTTGCGTTTAAACCGGTTAGAATGATGCCGCCGGACTAATTTTTGAAACATTTCTATGCCTATCGTTCGTGATGCATAATAAGGCTGTAAGTACGCAGTTTTACTATAATTTACCCATAGCTTCGCGAATGTATACCTTTTTTTCGAGTCTCACCTTCGATAACGAATGTGAAATAGGTTAGTATCCGTTTCGAGAACTAGGCCATTCTCCAGCAAAACGGAACCTTTGTTATCCAATGTATTTTTCTTTCGCTATGAACTCGAAATCCAGCCGATTATCGAATTGGAATTTTAATAAGAGAGAGTGATTTTCTTATATTTCCCCTTAAAGGATGAGCTGGATTTCACTTTCTCTCTTGTTACTATGGCTCCCCTTGTTTTTCGAACCCATTTCGAGTGTATTTCCAATATACTATGAACGTTGGAAAACTAAGGTTGGTTATGAGTTGGTTTTCTGTTCGATATTCATATTGGATATCGAAGGTAATTTTCGAACGTTCGCCAAAATGTTTATTGGATATGTATGTACATGTGTATGTACATATATTGGTTATGAGATAAACTACCCTGACGGAAACAAGTGATTTTTTTAAATCAACTAATTGAAAGACTACTTTAAAACGAATGCAATAAGTAAATGTTTCGAATTTTGATACTCTTTCTACTCAAAGATACAATTTGGGTCTTGGAAGTGTGAAAAAGCATCTGTGAAGTGTAGAAAGTTGTTTCAAACAAATGCATTTTAAAGTAGTTGAAATTAAATGCAGAATCGGACAGCCGACTTGCTGCTTGCACACAATTCAAACTGAACATTTGAAAGCATATTTACATGTCTGGCTGTAGCTGAGCGTGCAAAGATATTTGCCCCAATTGGTCGCAGCCAAGAATGTCCATGTTCAAATATTATTTAATTTTTAATTTCGGTTTTTCTTAGTTATGAAAAAGCAACATGCTGACTTTGAAGTTATTTAGGCCAAACTCATTTTAGAGTAGTTGAAAATAAAGTTGCAGGAAAAGGTAATTGACTGCTTCCTAGAACATCGCCATGTTAAATAAATGAGTTCGTTGCAGGTAAAATAGTGAGAATTTCAATTAGTTATCATTGAAAACAAAGCAGCTTATAAATTACTTTCAAACTATTTCAATTTCCTGCAGGGTAAAGAAGTTTATAAATTACTTTCAAACTGATTCAATTTCCTGCAGGGTAGATATGTAAGGTAAGTTTCACTTTTCAAGTGTGGCCCAGGCGCACTTACTTTTTTTGTACTTTTTAGCTCTTTTTGTAATAAAAACGTGTTTTTAGTTTTTTTTTAAACTATAATTTTATTTTTTTAAAGTTAGCACTTCCACTTTTTGTGATAACCTGTAAAATATTTTAGTGCTATTCATATTTTACGTAGTTGTATTAATAGTTACATTTTTTAGTTAAGTCTTGTACTTTATTTGTTGAAAGTGAGCAATTGTTCAGTATCGCCTAATGGGAGAAAAGGCAGCAAAATTACTTTTTCTGAAATGTAATATTTATGCACTTTTGAAATTTGACTACTTGATTAAAACCATGTATTAGAGGTTAAGTACTGGTTCAATGTTCTAATAATTTATAAAACGATGACTTAAGTCGATTATAGCTTTTTTAATGTTATTCCTACCATTCGTATTCGCATTCGAACATTCGCATTCGCGTTCACGAATGTGAAAAATATAACATTCAAAACATCCCTAGTATGCACATATAGCTTTCTTTATCAGCTTTATCTTTTCCTATCAATCAAAGAGAGAGAGTACATGCGAAAGAACACATTTGCAAGCGTTCTTACTTTCATATATGTACTAAGTATATAGTACATAATCAGTTAATTCTTTCGTAGCGAAATATTCTTTAATAATTTTTTTAGTACATACATTTGTACATATAAGTCTCAATAGTAACAATGTAATTTTTACAAGTGTGCTTGTGCAACTGTAACGTAGAAATCTAAATAAAACAACGAATGGCATTGATAGCAAAGTGCAAGAAATAGGGTATTCAATAAAATTCCCGATTAGCAGTTCCCCTATTCTTATTATACTTAGGGCCATTTTCTGAAGTGACCTTTAATTTTAAAGCTCACTTTATATATAAAGGTTGGATTAAAAATAAAGCTGTGTCTAAAGTTAAACATTTCTATTATCGAACTTTGATGTATGTATATTTCTTGGTTGTAAACCAATTTTAAACCGATAATAAAATGCTTTACTTTAGACACAATCATAAATTTTAATGCAACCTTTAAATTTAAAGTGAACTTTAAAGTTACAGGCTACTTGAGAAAACGGAACTTAAACGGATAGATAGATTTAAAGAACTTAATCGCAATGAATATTCCAACATTTCATGTAGCCCAACAATTTGTCTAAGTTCAGTAATCGCTAGGCGGTAAATGAGCATTTCTTATAATCATTCGAGTTCCGGAAATAGAACCTTGCGAAAAGGGTGAGGAGGGCATAGGTTGATTTATATTTCTGCTGGGTAGTTGTTGGTAAGAAATATGGTCTCTCGCCCAAATCTAATTATTGGCTCTATGAAAGCATAGTTAAGCCCGTAATGTTTTATGTCGTTCTGGTGGAATTCGCTAGACGGAGCTAGGTACCTTCGTAGGTACATAGGGTGCATACAATGGTGTCCTTATTAATATTGGTGATTACTTGCCGATCACTACCACTCTCGCGTTTGATATTGCAGGCAAAATTGCCACAGCACAGACTGAAACCAGGCTCAGGCAAAGCGGATACTATAAAGTTATTGAAAGATTCCATTTCATGTCTGATTACACGGGTCACTTCGTCTCTGAAATCACTCCTAGCGTCGTTTCAACGATCGGTTAATTGTAATTTTTGTTTAAATTTTACTCTAAAATGTCAAACTTTGATATTCCTAGTCTCAGATATTAACAACAAAATATAAGGAGTTTGCTCTGGGGCTATTACCTGTTCAATGTGCCTTGGGATAAGTTCTAAAATGCCCAAGTGTGGACGACCACGAAATCTAAGCTTAGAAAAGAAGTATTTGTTAACTTGGTTTGCAATATGTGGGTTTTGCAACAAATTACCATAAAATACTGCTTTAGATTTGGCAGGTAGGTAAACAAAAAAATTTTCGAACATTTCTAGCATATACCCAATATTAAAAATTGCAGTTTGTACAATACTTTTTATAATTTTTTTTTTACAGTGGAACAAATACCCGTCACATGTAAGGGAATTAATTTTTCTTGCGCATTTAATTCAAAAGTTTCATAGATTATTATTTCCCGTAGGTTAAGCAATGCTAATGCCTTAATTACAAATATTAACATATTTTCAAGTTAGCTATCAGCTTTCAAAATATTCTTATCGCACAAAGAGGTGCAAGTGAGGACTATAAATTCCATGTACATATTTATGCACTACAGGTGCTCGATTACTCATACCTAAATGTATTGAAGCACAGCCAGCATTTGGACGAAGAATTTGTATTTCTATATGTACTTATTGTATATATGTATAATATGCATATACAATTTGTTGCAAGTGTATGCGTTTTTATTTCTTAAGGAGCACTAAATATTAATTTATTATATAGAATTTAATGGCACTACGTTTTTGTTCACAATAATTTGCACATTTCTTGCATATTCCCCATTCACTTTCAATGCAATTTGCACTACTTTTCCAAATGCTGCTCACATATTTCAAAATTTACTTTGCACTTCCTCACTGTTTACTTATCAGCTGCTCTAAATTTATGTTATCAAAGTTCTCATCTACTATTGAAGCAACGATCTTTCTGTACGGATCGTTAACGCGACTCATCTGAAATTCACTCGATTACTGGCCGCATTCACCTGTTGCGCCTAACGCAGGGATTGTATTTGTCTTATCAGCAAAACGGCACACATCGAATCCCCCATTCTCGCCCGAAACGGTTTACAGCCTGATAAGATAAGCTGCGTTGATAATGTTGCGCGCTTTCGTCTACAATTTCGTTTCGAAAATTATAAATACAAATTGTGTATATGTACATATGTATGTGGGAAAGCCATTGTATAAAAAAGTGTTATGAACAGTGTTGCACCATTTTCGCTGGGGGACAGATTGGATGAACGAACTTAGGGCCTCATGTTTTGGTATGTATGAAGGTCCCATTAGGAAAAAATTTGTACCGTAAATAGCATGGGCGTATATAAGTAAAAATAAATATGTGAACAGCTTCGTTTTTTCCGTGCCTTAGATTATTAAATATTTTAATGCAATCTCATTCAAAATTTTAATAAGAAACATCTTGACTCTCTACCATCGTATATTTAATTCTATAAATAATGTAATTATTATTCTTATTACCGTTTTTTCAAGCAGACTTTAGGTGTGTCTTTGGTTAGAGCAATTGTGTTTTGATTGACTGATTGTATTGTGTTGCCATAAGACGCACTTTTCCAATGAGAATAGACAATAAATAGAGTTTATGTAGTTGTGGACAATTTAGTTTTTAACCTGCTAAGAGGCTGTCAGACCAATATACACTGAGAGAAAAAATATTAAAATCAAATAGAAACGTAATTGCTCTACATCGGTAAATATTCAATTCAATTACGCGCATATTAAAATGACCGCGTTCATTCTGAAAAAGCATCCGTGAAGTGAATAATCAAGACAAAAACTAAAAGAAAAAAATATTTAATTTGCATGTTGCCTACAGTGGAATTCGAACCCTGACCATCTCTCTGGATATCAACAAATTGTGGCAAGCATCTTTGCGCACTCAGCTGCACCCAGGCATATAAATTTGCTTTCAAATGTTGAATTTCCATCAACACCACAGCACGCGATTTGTACGGACGCAGCCAGAAAGGAAACGTAAATTTTGCGGACAGTGCAGTTTAGTTAAATTTTCCGTATCCGAAAACGCATAGAAAAAACTCCTACAGTTATCACCAAATTTCATATCCGGAAAACGTTCGAAGCGTATTGTATTTTATTTGCTCAAGCTAAACATTTGAAAGCATGCAAGCGTGTCGGCAGTGGCTGAGCGTGCAGAGGAGTGTGCCGCTATTTGTTAGCTTCCAGAAGGTGCCGGCTTCGAATTCCGTCAGGCGCTTTCTAATTTTATTTTATTTCTTTTGAACCATGAAAAAGTATCTGTGAAGTGCAGAAGGAAAGCTTCAATACGCAAAAAATTCAAACAGGCAAATTTCAGAAAAAACAGCCGAAAACGTATCCGCTTCACAAACAATTTTCGGTAGTTGTCTGTACATAGGTCTCTGCCGCACACTTTAGTGGGAAAACGGATCGTCAAAGTATCCGAAAATGGAATCAGTAAGCATACGAAAATCCGCACTTCATCCACTTTTTTGTCCTTTTTGGGATCGGTTTTCGGATTGTTTGCTGGCTGGATATGTACACTTACATATACATACTCAGATGTGAACAGTCAAACATGTGCGTAATACATTTTTGTATGAAAATATTATTTTTAAATACGAACATTTTAAAACGTCAATAAAATATAAAGCATTCATTTTTACTATGCATTATTTCCCTCAGTGTTTCTTAAAATGTATATGAAGTAAAAACTTATAAAAGTATATGAAAAAAATATGTCCAATATTGAATTGCAGTAATTGTGTCCATATTTTTCGCAACAAAATGCTTGTTTAGATTCCCTTTCATTTTATTTTTTTAAACAGGTATTAACAAGTAATTTAAAATCTTAAAAAAGTTCTTTCTCGGAAATCAGTTAAGATATTTTCATCTCAGAATAAAAAAAGACAGATTATGAAACGTTCATAGAAAAAGGGTTAATTTTGGTACTTAATGAAAACATATTAAAAATAGTTTTCGTATCTAAATGTATGAATGAATGAATAAAGGTAAATACATGTTTTTAACGTTTGAGTTTACATTATGTACTTCTGAAAAATTATACAATAAATAGCCTTTTTTAATTTTTATAGAAACTAGAAACCGCTTTTTTAAATCGCCGTTCTTCAAAAACTCCACAGTTCGGGAAGTAGGTATGTAGTAAACTTCTATTTTCTGCTGTTTCCATGTTTTTACCCACAAATCATTAGTTTAATCACCGTTACATTTTCAACAGCTGCATCTGCAACCGCTATTTCCGCTTCGAATGCATGCTACTTTCATGCCACACTTGATTTGTTACATTACCGTAAGGGAATTCTCTCAGTATTGCATGAATGCGGTTTTACAGTAGTTGCGTTCCCCAAATCGCCAAAAGTGGAAAGTTTTTTCTAGAATTTATTAAAAAGTGGTTCTCTCTTCGTCAGAATCTGCAAAATCGTGCTTGTACTCGGCCCATTCCGAGAATGTTTTGAGTTGGTTATTTTACTATAAATGCTATTGTATTTACTTGCAATTAGCTGTAACTCCGCTTGGCAAAGATTTTCCCCGGCCAAAGGAATACCCTTTGTCTATTTATGTGTGTGCTTGCATGTATACCCTTACAACAAAGTCATCTTCTACGCTAAGTACTTTCAACTGCATTTATACTAAATAAAATCTTTGCTGCTCCCCGCTAACAACTGCGTGGCTGTTGCAACCTTTCAGCTTTGCCACATGCAATGCAGAGAGCTCTAAGTACGGAGCATTAAAGAAAGGAGGGCGCACAGTAAAACGTCTTATATAAATTTTGTCAACAATAATTCGCGTTGCCAAATGAAGCTGACATCCCGAGCACCGACTATTAAGTTTCCAAATACTTGTAAATATGTACATACATACATACTATGCACAAGCGTAGTACATGCATTCGCATTTACACTTGCAGTTGCATTGGGTGTAGGTGTGCAAAGCACTTCTACCAAAAAATTTGAGATCGGGTAAGAACTTCTACTGTCTTTCCGTTGCCATTCGCGATTATTTGTATGCTTGATTGCTAAAAGGATCACAAACAAGGACGGCGGGACGAGTATAATTTTGTGGGTTTAAACAAATAGTTACTAGTTTTAAGTACTTCAGCTCATTTAGGGCTGTTTGCTCAAGTAGGTTTTAAAATTTATCTGTCCATCAAACACAAATTTTCAGAACAAGGTTGGTGTTCAAAGGACAAATTGAACTTACTTGAGAAAACGGCCTTTATAGCCAGTTTCACAAAAGTGATTGAAGGAAAAAAATAATAATTTTCTACTTAAATTGCTGGTAAAACTGGCATAATGAGACTCAATTTCGGGGATTTGGCACACATACATATGTAATGTAATATATTTGGACCATTTTTAGAATTTTGTCCGTCTGTTTGTTTGTTTGTCTGTTTGAACTAACTAATCTCCGGATCTACATACTGAATGGATTTTCATGTAGCTTTAACTGGTATCTAGACAATGATCTCGGACATAACATAGGGGGGGAAAAAAATGAGATCTGACAAGAAGGCGTGGCACCTCGCATATGCGTGAAATTTTTAATCAGAAATAACTTGGTGCAAAGACAAATCTATGACAGATGCTTAAAGTAAATAAATTATCCATCCGGTATAGGCAACCAGACATCAGGCATTGACCTTAGACCATAAAAAATGTGGGCCGTATGACGCATAAGTTGCCAAATCCAACCGCTTTATAGCCCAGGCCTCCCACCAACTGACTACCATTTGTTCCTGTCGATATTGAACGTCCTTACGGCTTGATGCTTTCTTGGTAACCTAGATAGCGAGAGGCAATACCTTCAATAAAAAACATTGAACAATGTTGGACAATAAAGTTTCAAAATGGAGGAAAGGTCCTTTAAAAATCATGATTGAAAGGAAGAATTTGTTGCACCCATACGTAGCAAGAGAGTCACTGTTCCTTAAACTGTGCATGAGTGCATACTACACTGCTAAACTCCAACAAAGCTTTTTTAATGTACTTCCATACTGGTGACAAGCGCATACTATGCACTGCTAGCCACATTGCAACGGATTGCGAGTAAATTTGTTATTGTCAAGCTTTTCATGTTTTTGTTGCTGTCGTTGTCAACACTTTGTTACCAAAATAAGTGCGGAAAGCAGCAACGACAGCAATGTCTCAAGACGAATTACTGTAATGAAGCGTATGCGAATCACAACCGACGTGTGACAAAAAAAAAACGCACACATTTGTGAGCATATGGGACTGACAAAGTGATAAAAAAAAACAGATAAATAAATAATAAAAAGAAAAAAAAAATAAGGAACAAATAAAAATGGGAGGTATGCGAATGAGGCACTCGCCAGAATAACAAACGACAAACCGAAAAGTTCACCATTAAACAGTGAAGCACTCAGTGCAGTAAAGAGCAAATGGCAGGTTACAACTTGCTTTGACATTTGTTGAAAAGAAAAAAGTCCCAACTGCGCGATAAAGCTAGCGCCGCTACTAGCGGAAGCCGAAAACAGTTGATGACAATTGACGACGAACAGACGACGGTTGGAGATAATGATTTGCTTGTTTTTTTTTGTTGTTGCTGTCGCAGTTAAGTAAAAAGGATCAAAATATGCGCGATTTAAACTCCACACAGCAAGATGTTGCAGTCGTCCCCTCATCCCCGCCGCCAAGTCGTCTGCTTACAAATCTTACCTTTGCTGGCGCATAATCGTCGACGTAGTCAATACTATCGCGCTGACAGCGCTTCATCTGACGTCGTCTCCCATCGTCGCCTTCTCCTTGAATACAACCACCATTCAATGTCAACAGTATTGTCGTGAGCGTTAAGGAAAAATGATTGAAAACTATTGAAATGCGAGTCGCTTAGACATGCAGCTAGGTTACGCGCCCACAAAAGCTTACGCTGCCGCACCTATTTACTTCCCAAAAACAAGTTGTTAGAAGCGGAGCTGGAGAAGAAGCACTGAAGAGGAAGAGCTATGCTCGATAAATCTTTTAATAATGAGCAAAGCGAACGAACACTGGTGCTTAACGGCAGAAAATCGCGGTTTTATGCTTTTTGTCATTTTAATGAAGCGACTTTAGGGCTTCATCGCTTCGACGCTATTGCCATTCAGTGGATAATTAGCCACATTTTGAATGCTAAGACGCGTACACTGGCCTCGAT